ATTAATTAATTATATTTTTTATTTTTAATTGTTAAATTTCAAAACTATTCTATTCGTAGAGGCATTATTTGTTGCATGATTTGTTCTTTCTTATGAATAGAACCTAATCTAGGAACGTAATGCTGAGAAAGTCATGCTAATGTTACTCCACTAGTCGCACGGGCGAGAACCAATATTTATTGGCGAGAACCATATTTTTCTGAATAAGTTGTAATTTAACGTCAAATTTTCCAGACGAAAGTGACTATTATAGTTTTAATAGAAACTTGTTATATTTACATAAAGAGGTTTTCGAACAGAAGTGAAACAACAACAAAAATTTATTTTTTAAATTATTTTAATTAATTGAATTTTTGGCTGACCATACAGCTGTTTCGAGTATTGCCAAATACCCTTCATCAGTGGTCTTGGAAATAATTCTTGTATTTAATTATTCGTAAATAATTATTTTTGAGACTGCAAGTACCAGGAATCGAACTCGGGTCCTGCCAAATGTGAAGCATCAGAATTCAGCGCACCTTAAAATAAATAATATATATCTATTTAATCAATATTAAACAGTAACAAATACATCTAACAGAGTTAAAGGAATTTATGATTATGCTTCAAAAGTAGTTCTTGTCAACTTTTTTCTTTGGTACTTGATTTTAATAACTTTTTCATCAATTCATATTAGAAAAATATAAATAATTTGAGAAAAAACTGTGTAACATTGTACTACTTCTTAGTATTTTTACATATGTATTGAAAAATATATGAATTGATTACATATGTTATGTTATACAATTTGCGAAAGAAGATTTGTTTTTTGTATGTAGAATATTTTCGTTAATTTTGCAAAATCGTGCTACTCATGTTCTACAATTTAAACACCAAAATATTATAGAATATATATGTTCTCGAAAGAATACCGTACAACATTGTATTGTTCTATCAATTTTCATAATTCATTAAATATTAATATTAACTATATACTCAATATTTAACAGAAACAAATACCTCTAACAGAGTTAAAGGAATTTATGATTGTGCTCCAGAAGTACTTTTTGTCAGCTTTTTTATTTGGTAATTGATTTCAATATCTTTTTCATCAATTCATATAAGAAAAATATAAATAATTTAAAAACTTATCGTGAAACATTGTACTACTTCTTAGTATTTTTAAAAATGTATATTGAAAAATATATGAAATGATTGCAGATGTTATACAGTTTGCGAAAAAAGATTTGTTTTTTGTATGTAGAATATTTTTGTTAATTTTGCAAAACTGTGCTACTCATGTTCTACAATTTAAATACCAAAATATTATAGAATATACATGTTTCTCAAAAAATACCGTACAACATTGTGTTGTTTTATCAAACTACATAATTCATAAAATATTAATATTATCTATTTAATCAATATTAAACAGTAACAAATACATCTAACAGAGTTAAAGGAATTTATGATTATGCTTCAAAAGTAGTTCTTGTCAACTTTTTTATTTGGTACTTGATTTTAATAACTTTTTCATCAATTCATATTGGGAAAATATAAATATTTTGAAAAATTACCCTGTAACATTGTACTACTGCTTAGTATTTTTACATATGTATTGAAAAATATATGAATTGATTGCATATGTTATACAGTTTGCGAGAGAAGATTTGTTTTTTGTATGTAGAATATTTTGCAAAATTGTGCTACTCATGTTCTACAATTTAAATACCAAAATATTATAGAAGATATATGTTTTTCAAAAAATACCATACAACATTGTGTTGTTTTATCAAATTTCATAATTCATTAAATATTAATATTATCTACAAACTAAATATATAAGAGTAACAAATACTTCTAACAGAGTTAAAGGAATTTATGATTATGCTTCAAAGGTAGTTTTTGTCAACTTTTTTATTTGGTTCGTGATTTTAATAACTCTTTCATCAATTCATATTAGAAAAATATAAATATTTTGAAAAATTACCGTGAAACATTGTACTACTGCTTAGTATTTTTACATATCTATTGAAAAATATATGAAATGATTGCATATGTTATACAGTTTGGGATAGAAGATTTGTTTTTTGTATGTAGAATATTTTGCAAAATTGTGTTACTCAAGTTCTACAATTTAAAGACCAAAATATTATAGAATAGATAGGTTTATCAAAAAATACCATACAACATTGTGTTGTTTTATCAAACTACATAATTCATAAAATATTAATATTATCTATTTAATCAATATTAAACAGTAACAAATACATCTAATAGAGTTAAAGGAATTTATGATTAAGCTTCAAAAGTAGTTTTTGTCAACTTTTTTCTTTGGTACTTGATTTTAATAACTTTTTCATCAATTCATATTAGAAAAATATAAATAATTTGAGAAACAACTGTGTAACATTGTACTACTTCTTAGTATTTTTATATATGTGTTGAAAAATATATGAATTGATTACATATGTTATGTTATACAATTTGCGAAAGAAGATTTGTTTTTTGTATGTAGAATATTTTTGTTAATTTTGCAAAATCGTGCTACTCATGTTCTACAATTTAAATACCAAAATATTATAGAATATATATGTTCTTGAAAGAATACCGTACAACATTGTATTGTTCTATCAATTTTCATAATTCATTAAATATTAATATTAACTATATATTCAATATTTAACATAGAAAAGGATTAATATCGACAATTTCAAGTCCCCGATATAAAAACATTGCTAACTAGTTTTTTATTTGTAACTAGGCGCAATTGAATATACAAAAAAAAATGCTACATAAACGACAAACTCGGAAGAAGTAACAAAAAGCCAGTGAGAACATACTCGCAAAAAGTCTTAAGCATGAATATAACTTAAACATAATTTACATAAACGAGCCACTGGTATTAATTGGGCTGCCTCATTTTACAACAATCATAAATTATTTGAGAAACATGTACTTTTTTTAATTTAATTCAGTTAATATTTAAAACTTCTTTAGTAATTAGTAATTTCGTTTTAAAAAAATTTTGTGATTGTGATTTCAAACTAAAATTTTTCAATATCTATGAACAAAAATTCAAATGAAATGTTTTTTATTTAATTTTTTATAAAATTTTTCTACTTAAAAAAACCCAAATAAATCTAACAACAATGAATGCGCATACACCCACCGTCATCAAAAGATTTTTCCCTACTGATCATTTAGAAATGCACGTAAACTAATAAATTACATTATTCACTACACGTGAATACGTGCACATTGTTACACATTAACAGATTTTTCAGCACAATGTTTCATTCACCACTTGAACGCTGCCGTATAAAAGAAAAAAATTGTATTAGCCTCGATCTTTGTCATTAATTTCGCATCAAAACGGTATTTAATGATTATTATTCAAAATTTTTTAGAAATATGTCATATCTCCTAAAATATATACGTCTTCTTCTTCCAAGTATTTCTTCAAGCACCTTTCTCGCACACATCAGCGAAGCCGCTGGATGTTTATTTGCTTAATTATGTCAATGTCATGATAAAGCTCGTACAACTCGTGGTTCATTCATATGCGGTAGTCGTCGCCAACTCGTAGAGGACCAAAGATCTTACGAAGGACTTTTCTCTCGAATACTCCCAGTGCTGCTTCATCATTTTGTGATAATGTCCATGTTTTTACATCATTAAAAGGCACAGGAAAGATAAACCACCTATAGAGAGTAAGTTTTGTTTGCTTATAGAAGCAACTATTAGCAATAGTGGTTCTTCGTCTAATCTCCAGATTAGACAGGTAGATGAAACCTTTGACAGATTCGAAAGTATAGTCGTCAGCTACTAGCTCGGAATCCGAGCGATATATCGTTTTGCCCTCATTCACCTCTAAGCGCATTCTTGCAAATTGCTTTTTGATAACAGCAAAGACAGTGTAACATCACGCTTTCTACGCCTAATGATGTCAATGATGTAGTCGGTGTAGCAAGAAGCTGAACATATTTGTAAAATATTATACCATTCCGGTGAACGGCAGCGCACGATCACTTCCATGACAAAATTAAAAAATCTCATGATAAGGGATCACCTTATCTGAAGTTCCTCACGATATGTTGATTATAAAAGCTGCGTTATAATAAAGGTGGTAAGCGTTGATATTATGTTCATTGACTTTTTCTAGGATTTGTCGCAGTGTGAATATCTGATCAATGGTGGAGCGACCACGTCGAAAGCCGCACTGAGAAGGCCCAATTAGTGAGTTGGCGTGGATTCATCCAACCGTATTCTCCAGATAAACTTAGACAAGCCTTATCAGCTTATCGCCACCGGCTGCATCTGCCACTTTGTTGTTTTTTAGTCGCTGTACAGCTATATGTACTTTGTTATGGCTAGGTGGTGGAATTTCAGCACCATTATTTTCGATTAAGAACTCCGAGAACATTTCTTTAAAGGCGAAATTAATGTTATCATCGCCAAATAGTGTTTTAAAGAAATGTTCCTTTCATACTTTTAATACACTCTGTGCATTTGTTACAAGATTACCATTTTTAAATTTATCATTTCCTTAATTACTTCAATTATTTAAATTGTTTTAATTATTTTCAAATTACCTATAACAATATATTTTTAACGTCTTGAATCAGACTATTGATTTTTTGATCAAATTTGCAAGCATTAACCCTGTTTCTGCGCTCTTCGATCTCCTCTCGCTCGCTCCCCTCTTGATCTCTTTTCTTCCATCTGAATAGGTGGCTGTCAACCTTCCTTATCTTCCGCAAAGTAAGTACAAAGTAAGAGAGAAATGACTGCATGAGAGTTTCTTACTCTTATGTAGAGTGTAAATTATAAGCGTTTTTATAATTGGGTTTTATGATCTTTATTTCAATTTCTTTAACACAATGTAAATTATAAACGTTTTTATAATTGGGTTTTGATTTCATTTAATTTATACAATTGAATTTATACAATTTCGGTTATTGATTGTTTAATCACTTTTTTATGTGTACCCGTGTGTTGACACGTTCGCGATCGAAAAACAAGAGACAGAATCAAACCAACGGAGTTTACTTGCAGCCCAAAAAATATAACAAATAATTGCTCATCTCGAGCGCAAAAACAAAACGCAATAAAAACAAGACTTAGAACCGTTGGTTTGATTACATCTTATACAGGGTTAGTTAGATAAATTAATTAACCATATATATTAACCATATAAAATATTATATATGAATTATATAATATATTAATTATAATAATTTAATTATACAATATATGATTTAAAATAGATTAAAATATAATAAAATATAATATATAAATCATATAACACATCAATTATAATAATTCTACAGAATCCTACAATATTAACAATTTGACTTTAACTGCTCTAACATAGAGGTTAAAATGGTAAAATGGTAAAAGTACCTAAAGTAAAAATAAAGGAAAGGTGAAGTAAAAAATAATATTTAGAAATGGATAAGTGTGTAATTGAAGATTTGATTCAAACACCTTTTTTAAACGATCTGCTGAAGAAAAGGTTTTAATTCATAAAATGAATAGAATAAGTCCAGATACGAAGAATTTGGTAACTGATGTAAAAATGTCGAAATCTCTGGTAAGTCGCCGTTGCTGAAGAAACTAATACTTTAAAAAGACGTTATTGAAGACTCTTACCAGAGAAGTAGACGAATGGGAAATTCCAGAGTTCGGAATGTGGTGCACAAAATCGCACACTGCACTGTGCGAGTGGAAATTATTTTTAAAATATGCACACGCACATTTGTGGTGTTAAGAAAAAAAATGCACGCACTCAAATTTGTTGTGCGATTTTAAATTTCACATCGCACAAAGCGATGATTGTGCACACAGATTCGTGCACACACATTTGTGCTGTGTGACTGATTTTTAAAAATGTGCACAATCAGATGTGCGAGAAAATTTTATGCTCGCACCGCACTGTGCGACAAAAAATTCTCTTTGCACACGAGTGTGCTGCTCATATTACGTTTGCACAAATGTGCACAAATGTGCGACTGCACAAACGTGCACAAATGTGCACAAATGTGCGATGCACAAACGTGCACAAATGTGCGATTTTGCGCTTGCACCCAAGGGTGGAAAAATTACAGGAACTTCACAATTTTGTTTGAAATAGAAAATATTATTTTGTTGCAAATTTTGAAAAAATTGATATTTGCGTTCGTTGGGATCGTAATTTATGTTAAAAATTGCATAAATTAACAAATATTTAAAATAATTATTTTTGTTAATTAATGTAAACTAAAAATTATAACTGTCTTAACCTTATTTGTATTTTAACTTAAAATATTAGTTTTTTGTATATTACTTTGTGCATTTTTAAATGCAAATATAGTAAGTGAACTTAAAGTATTTGTTTGGAAAGTTTTGCACCAGTTTAAAAAAAATAAAAACATATTTTAGGAAGATTTTTTTATGCCCAAAAAATATGAAAGATTACGAAAGATTAGGAAAATATTTTTTTTTGAACAGGTAGCAGGTATTGGTATTGGTGTATTTGTTTAATAAATTTTGCAACAGTTTAAAAAAGATAATACGGGAGGGCCACAAATAGATATTTTTCTTCTCCAGAAATATGTATTCACTTAGGTAGAGTTTCTAACATTCATTAAAAAACGCGAAAGATTAGGAAAATATTTTCTTGAACAGGTAGCAGGATTTTAGCGCCCTTTCTACTGTGCTAAGTAAGCAGAGATATAATTTAAGTGAAAAAAATATTTCAGCAATGTTATTAATAAGATTAAATGAAAATTTATTTCAAAAAATATGTAATAAAAATTATATATTTTATAATAAGAAATTAAGATATTAAATTATTAAATTATTTCAATAACTTCGTTAAATTTAAGCTGTAATTAAAGATAAAAAATTAAGTGAAATCTAATAACAAAATTAATTTATGTTGTTGTAAAAAATATTTAATTTGCTTTTTATAACCTTACTAACGAATCTTAGTGTACAACTTACTATTAAATAAAATTTTATGAAGTAGTCCAAAATTGATATATTTAATTTTTTCAAAGTACGATCCGTAGAACCGATCCTCTTTACTTATAACATTTCGAAACAAATACTTTTTCTCTATTAAATTCATGTACCTATTTAATATAACAAAGTTTTCAAGTACATTGTGAAATTAACTTTATTCCCATGTTTTAAATTAATAAACCTTAAAATAATAAGTAATATAAGCAATAAATGTAAATCTAATAATAAATTCAAAATTAAAATATAAATACAAAATTATTTCTTCAATAAAATATTTCGCATTAAGACCAAAATTAATACAAATCAGTTTTCCGTACTATTTTGCTGCGATATTTGTCATAATATTGTGCGCTTTTAAATCATCATTTCACACAAACGTGCAGTAGACATTTCGTCTCCGCACATTTGGGTGCATTTTTATTTTCGAGCCTGCACACAAAATGTGCTTCTCGTATTCTTTTCTGCACACGTTGTGTGCGAGGGCAAGTTGGCTGCCGCACACACAATGTGCTGTGCGAAATAACTTCGGCACAAACACCGAATGCGTGTGCGAGTTTTATTTCACTCCACCACACTCGTGTGAAATGTGCGTTTCGTTTGTGCACACAAGATGTGCACTTAAGATGTGCACAAAAATTTTCGCACACCACATTTGTGGTGTGAAATTTTAGAATCGCACAACATTTGTGCGTGGTGTTTTGCATTTTTGTGCACAGCACAGTGTTTTTCTGAACCCTGGGAAATTCACATATAAGCTATTGATAACGACGGTAAAAATGGATGTTATTAGTCCTCTTGGGGAACCATATCTTTAAAAAAGGCAGCACATCGTTTGCATATCTTGAAGGTAGTGGGGAAATTGCATTTAAAAGGTGCAGAAACACGTTATAGTTGATATCCGTTTTGATCAAATTGTGAACACCCTTCCAAAAAGTTGACGCTTCTCCACTGGCCAAAATGTTAAAAAAATAATTTTTTATTAACAATTTATTTTCGTTACGTTCGAAGTGGGTGGACTTTCCGTTATTTGAAAGTTGTTCTTTGGTTTGAACTTTGTGATTAATTCAATTAAATATTTAGCGTTCAATATTTTTCTTCATTTTTAATAGGCATTTGTGCAATAATTTCTTCCAATTTCGATGTGAAAAAGACATGTTTTTTGTTTTTATTAACGAATTATCGCTAAAAATTTTCTCGAGAGTTCCAAGTTGATGGCCGACCTGGCTTGGAATGGCCATAAAGAAAGTGTTGTTGGAAAAAACTTACGGAGTTTATTTGTAATTTTTGTGATTAACAATTAAGTTTCCTTTTTTATAAGATTTTTTTTATTCGCTGTTCACTTGTGCTATTGTGAATTTTGAATGTAAAATTTGCTTGATTTTGTATCAATTACAATTCATTTTGTAATTATCGTTGTCTCATTCTTGTGTTCCTTGATAATGACATGTAGGTATTCTTTGGTATTATTTGGTATTATTCTTGTTTACTAAATTTGCAGGTTTCATATTTCGTTTGTTTGTTTTATAAACGATATTTTTTAGTAAGAAGTGCAAAGCTTACATAAACAATTATTTCGGAAAGATTAATTAATTATCATAAAATAAAAACATTTCTGTTAGTGAAAAAATGGTTAATTCTTTGTGGTTAAAAAAATTAAAATCATAATTGATAATTACTGTTTCAATTTTATTCAAGAAAACTGCATTTCACATTTGCAATGTTATTGATTAGAAGAAATAATGATTACTACAAAGCCTTCCCGAATTTACTGCATAAAATTACTGAGTGTAACTGTGATGTCGGGTGCAATAAATAAAGCGTACTAAACAGTCACATATACTGCTTTTAATAGATATATTAAACAGGTCGTGCTTTCGAATGAGTTTGTAAAGTTCTTAAATATTCTAATGGAAACTCAAGAAGAGGTTCAGCTCAGCGATGAACCTGATGCATACTTCGAACATCAAATTTTTTATCAACCAATACAACAAAATAGTATCGATAATAGTAAATATGATGATTACAATTCTAAAAAAGCTGCGAAAATAGAAAATAATATTAAAACTAAAGAAGTCATCTCTTCAAGTGAGAAGCAATATCCTCACCATATAGGATTAAAACCAACAAAACTTTCTTGCAAAACAGTAGGACTTAAAAGGTATTAACAATTCTAAATGAACAGACCACTACATAATGCCTACACATCTACATGTATATATTATTACCGAAGTTTCGAAAAGAACTTAACTACAACAAAAATTATTTTTACATTAGGGGAATTCAGGCAACTGATCAGTTGCTTAGTTGATTCAAAAACTTCATATAAAAAAAATTTAGCATTTTCATGTTAATCAGTTGCTTGAACGACCCAAAATGCGTAATCTGATTAGTTTGTTGTGTGTAAATGCCTTGGCAGCACTCGCATCAACAGCAAAAGCGAAACATACGTTAACAGTGAAAATTTTTTACACACAATTCAAACAGCTGAGAGAGATAGCTAATAAATTTCTATGCAAAAGTTCATTTTAAGTTATTATTACGACACTTGGGACTAACGGCACTATTAATCAAATTTGTACTAATCTGAGAATCACCGAAATAGTTGATTCCCTGCTTAGTTTCATTTTTGTGTGCAAATTTTTGTTGTAATCAACTACTAAGCAACTAATCAGTTGCCTGAATATCCCTATTATGTATTTTAATTAATTGAATATTTGGCTGACCAGACTGCTGTTTCGAGTATTGCCAAATACCCAACATCAGTGGTATTGGCTTATATCTTTTATTTAATTATTCGTAAATAATTTTTTGTTTGTAGTCACTTCTGTCATTTATTGCTTAAATGTGAAAAATTAATTTTAATTTGTCGTATCAAGAGGTAACCTTAAAAAAAAAATGTTCGAAAATATTGTGTATCTGATTTAAAGTAGATACCAAAATTTTTTTTATGTTGAGCCTTTTTCTAGTTAGTGCATCTGGGCACCTTACTCTTTGATAGCTAGGTGTTTCTGCAGTGTTCCACACATCCCACTGATTAATTTGTGTATTCCTTATAAGCGTCGTGATTATTCAAGGATTGTTCTAAGATCTGCGTACCGCCCGAAAAATAGATATGATACTGTTGATTCTAACACAGCACAAACTCTCGCGCAGGAAGCTGCCGAGGATTTTGATCAGTCCGACTGGGATACCATATTTATTTTATATTTAAGTATGTGTACAATATTCTATATGTAAAGTAGAGTGTAATACAGCAGTACAGTTGGTTCAAAGGTTTTATATGCATTTTTTCCCGAGTGTCGATTATCCATTCTTATGTTGTAAGGAATACGAGTATCATTTCCTTTAAAGACCCCCTTTTATTTTGAAAAACATTTCAGGAAATTCTGGAATGCATTCTATAATTCCTTTCACTGTAGTTTCAAAAATGTTTCAAATCTATCATTTTTCATGCACCATTTCTTTTTTGTTTTGGTGGGTCATTATCACAAAGAATTTAACACTTCAGTTATAGGTTTTTCTCTTCATTAAATTAATTTAAGTAGGCTCCATCCACTTTTTGAATCACTTGAAATAACAATTAAATTAGAAACTGTTTTAATTTACAGTTCTCAAACACAAATTTCATGCCACGATGGACCATGAATATAACTGTCATTATAATATTTATAACACTAATTAGTTGTTTCTTTACGTTACGTGAGGCAGCCTTGTTGTTAGTTCAAAAAATTTTTCAACAACGTTAGATACATGCGCTATTAAAGATAAGTCCTCAAATCAGCTTATCCTGTTTGGATTTTCCAATCCAAGCAATAATTGATTATATTGCTTACAGAACCTTAATAATATCAAAATGTACCATTATTTATATGCAAGTAAATTTTGGCGCATTACGCTGAAAACGAACAAAAAAAAATACGATTTGAATGGTTCAGGTTCGTTTTCAATGTTAACCTAGCCATTTTCCGTATAATTCTTCGGTGGTTAGATCAGAAGCTGTAACTACATTACTTGTATATAAAATATTGAAATATTTTCATAAACACGTACCTGAATTTTTTAAAGTAAAGGTGATTATAGTATGCAGGTCCTATTACCATCTCAGTGGTTAGCACATGTTAAAATTCATACCTGAGTTGAAAGCAGATTGTTAAGTTTAGTATATTCGATGTCACGTAATTTTAATAATATGATACGCAAGAATGCTTAAGTGGATGTTAAGAATCACTAAAAAAGAGATAAACTTGATTCGACGATTATCGAAATGAAAACATTTGTCAACTATTCAAAATAAGTCTATGTTCTTGATTTAAGAAAAAGATTAAAATAGTTGCAGAAGGCTAAATCTTTTCTTATTTCTTAAAAATGGTTTAACAATGTTGAGCAGTAGTGCTTAGTTTTCGGTTTTTCTTGGACAGATGTTATTAATGTATATTAACCACGTGTATTTCAAAAAAATGATCATCGTCTTATCGGTCGACATTGCAATTTTCGTCTTTTCAATGAACTGGCTGATATCACCCAAATTTAATCTATTTTGAGAAAAACAAATTTGTTGCGTACAAAACAGTCATCAAACGAATATGGGACCTACGTTATACATTTTGAAGTTTTGCGGGAAAGTACTACCGTGATCGACTGATATCCAAATATCCCATAACTAATTTAATTTAATTTTATTATAATTGTTATTAAATTTGTTTATTATTTCCCATAATTTTTTTTGTTATATTTAAAAAGCTGTAGTTTATTATAAGAAAAACCAATAATCTATAAATATAAAGAAAAGATCACAGTAAGAATATAGCAAGCTGAGATGTTAAAATTAATCTGTCTTAAAACATTTTAAACTATTTAAGCAAAAGTGTTCCTATGCAATCGTATACAAAATTAATCAAATAATTAATCAATCATCAATTCACATCAATACTTGTTTGGCATCCATGAATGCGTTATAAAAAATTGTTAAGTGTCGCCAAAGCAGTGTCCCTTTTAAAGGTACAATATAAGTAGATGCTATTCAAAAAAGAACTTATTCGAACTTATTCGTTCCCGCGCTTATTTTTTTTTATTTTCACGCTGGCAACACTATTATACACATTCTGTCAAAGTTTAAAGCATATCGTACGATTAGTTTTTGTTTGGCGTCTAAATGCGTCGAAAAATGGTGTAGGGAACAAGGCCTGGCCATCAATGCCACGAAATCAGACACTATCCTCTTCACGAGGAAGAGAAGTCTGTCAATGGAGCCTTTACAACTTTTTGATAATAACATTCGCATATCAAAGTCGGTGAAGTATCTAGGTGTTGTCCTAGATAATAAACTGACTTGGAATGAACATGTGAATGAAAAGATCAGGAAAGCGAAAAGAGCTCTATTTCAATGTAAGAGAGTGTGCGGAAGACGATGGGGGATATTCCCAAAATCGATGCACTGGATCTATACCATGATAGTCAGACCTATTATAACATATGCGTCAGTTATCTGGTGGTGTAAAGTCACCCAAAAGACAATAAAGACGAAGTTAGATAGAGTCCAGCGACTACCCTGTGTTGGAATAACAGGCGCTATGCGAACTACACCAACACCGGCATTAGAGGCGATGCTAGGCTTGCTTCCGTTGGATTTACATATAAAGAAAACGGCGGCACTGGCAGCAATTCGCATGAACCGGAGCTCCACGTGGAACAACTTCGAAAAATTAGTGGGCCATCGTAAGATTCTTGATCTCGTCCAGGCCGCGGTCAAGGAAACGCAGATGCCATTGGAGACTATGAGGAGGGTTTATGGGACAGAAGTGTCCTACAGAACACTGATAGTAGACGGCTTTCTACATAATAAATGTGGAAGGAATGACATTTGCATATTTACCGATGGCTCCTTAATGGATGGCAGAGCTGGTGCTGGGGTTTACTCGAAAGAGCTAAATCTAACGTGCACTCTACATCTAAGAATATATGTTTCCGTCTATCAAGTGGAACTTATGGCGGTCTCACATGCTCTGGATCACCTATTAGATTGTCAGGTATATCAGAAAAAGATTCTGATAGCGCTGGACAACCAAGCAGTTATCAAAAGCATGCAAAAGACATACATAACTAACAGCTTAGTACAAGAATGTGTAACGAAGCTCATGGAATGTGCTCATGGAAATGAGATGACGATCATGTGGGTTAAAGGACACATCGGTATTGAGCAAAACGAGAAGGCAGATGAACTTGCAAAGCAAGGATCAAGCCATAATTTCTGTGACCCGGAGCCCAGAATACCATTGGGGTACAGCATGACGGCAGCCTATGTCAATAAGTGGATAATCTCACTTCATCTTAATAGATGGAGAGAGTTGAGCACTTGTAGACAGACCAAACTCATGTTACCTAAACCGTGGGCCAGGGAAGCGATAAAAGTGCTTAGCTATTCGCGGAGCACTCTAAGCTGGCTGACCTCACTAATTACTGGACATGGCAACTTCAAGTATCACCTCAAAAAGATAACTCTTGCTGAGGAAGACACTTGCAGACTATGTCTATGTCTAGATGTCTATGTCTAGAAGAAACCTCAAGCTAAATGAGATGCTTGCATTAACAAAAGATGTAGTTATGCGAACGGAAGCCACTCCAGCTTTAACTCAATAACAACATCCGAGAATCGAAAGACGAAAAAGGACCCAAGTCGTTTCATGGTCTACTTCGACTAATCCTTCACTTCAGTGAGGCCACTTGTTGGACAGTGCGCTGTCCCAACGTCCCACCATATATATATGTTTGGCGTCTATACAAAGAAGTCGAAAAATTTTCGTGTGGCGATTTTTAGCTGAATTTCATTTTTAGCTGAAAAAAGCGTCGTTGTCATGTGACCAAAGATTTAATTTTCAACGCAGATAGTGACCTGACCCCACATTCATCGAACGCATCATAACTGGTGATGAGATATGGGTCTATGAATTTGACATGCCCACCAAACAACAATCGACCGAATGGTGCTTCGAAGGTGAGCCGAAACCGAAAAGAGAACGCCAAAGTCGGTCCTAAATCAAGGTTATGCTGACTGTTTTTTTCGATATTCGTGGTGTGGTGCACTATGAATTCCTTCCGGACGGTCAATAAGGAGTATTATTTTGCCGTTATTAAAAATTAAAATTTTGCGTGTTTTTTTAA